CATCTCTGTCAGTATTGCAAGAAATGTAAAATCTTGATATATCCGAAGAGTTATCAGATGTTGGAAATTATAACAGAGCATATGAAGGAAATCCTAAAACTAAAACAAACCTTTACAACTTAACTTCTGTATTCTGTACTATCCAAATCTTCCCTCCAGTCCTCACTACTGAGCATAAAAGGAGAGAATGACAATTCAGCCTGGAAGAATTTATTGGGATCCTGAGCAGAAAGAGCTAAAGAAAAAATAAATTCACATTAGCAGGGTACTTTGGCATCATGTTCTAAAGGAAGTCTTTTCTGAGAAACAACTGTTCGAGAAAAAAAACAAATAAAAACAAAGGTCTCATAGTTCTGGGCTCTGGGATGAAAACGACCACTAGTAGAAATAAACACTGCACTACCTTCACTTCTTTTCTTCCCATACCCCCCTTGTGCTCATCTTTTCACCCCCAAGTACTTTCTATGCCCCCAGGGAGCAGAGCAGAGGGACAGCTAGATGTGATCAGCTGTGCAGAGCCACCAGGGAGATGACGAAGGTGCAGGCATGAAGTGAAAGTGACAGGCATAGATGGACACATAGTGTCCACACTGTCAGGTGCCTTTTGTAAAGGAAAGTATTAAAAATAGCTTTTCACTGGGGCCTCACAGAGCTTCAGAGAGACCTGGGCTGCTACTTCGTTTTGGGGATGGAAGTCCCAAAAGGAAGGACTTCCTAAACTAAAACATAGAAAAGTGAAACATATTTTCAATGTTAACAATTAAAAAAATTAAAGTTGAGCACTGAATGTATTCAGCTTTCAATCCTGTCTGTGTATCACGTGGTAATTTATAGAACGCTATTTCAATACAAGGCTAAACTTACGGCCGTTTATGAATGTAAGATATAGCCAATGAGTTCTCCTTCCTTTTACCCACTCTTGTTCATATTCAGAGAGAGGTCAAACTTTTCTTAGAGAGAAAGAAAAATATATAAAAGAGGGAAGCTAAACAAAAAGGAAAAGGAGGGGAAGGAAGGAAAATAAAAACAATGCATGATGGGAATAGCTTTCGATTATTTTTGGACAGAAAGCTTTATAGACAGTAATAAAATAATGTCTGCTAAGTGATAACTGAAGCCCTTGGTACTGTTAATGGTATGAAATAACAGGGCAGTTTTTGCTTCCTGGCTCTAAGGAGATTCTAGCAAGAGAGAAAAAACTAACCTACTTCAAACAGAGGACAGGGCTAAAATCTGGTACTAACTATCTATACAATAAGGTTCGGGAGAAAGGAGAGGTTAATACTAGTGATCAATTTTCTTCATTTGTAAAATTGAAAGTAAAATAATAATATAGCCTATCTTAGAGTATCATTTCAGTATTATGAAGCATTTAGCTAAACTTGACAGAGTAAGCATTTAGTAATACTGCTTATTAACTCAGTAAAATGTATAACAGATATAAAGTACCTTGATAAGTGGGCAAAAGGCAACCAAAAGGCATTTATATTAAAAATATAGACTATAGCAACTATGCTATACTATGTAATATTTACTAAATTCTCAATGGGATAAAAACTACACAATTTTTCAAGGTTATGATTAAACTAACCATCTTGTTACTAGCTACAAAAACATACCGACTCATTGGACAAAGCAATCTGGCAATCCATAACATTAAAAAAAAAAGGTTATGTGATTTAATCAAGTATTTCAGGCTTAGCATTTGTCTTAAAAAAAAAGAAACATTGACAAACAATAGGAGTTTTGCTGCGATTATAACTATTTTAGTATAAGGCTGGAATCAACTTAAAATTCAAATAAAAGAAGAGTATAGGAATGGTTTGGTATAGTAGAGTGCCATCAACCTGACGGGATATTACATGTTATTAAACATGGTGACTACATCTACAGTGTTCAATTTGTAAAATGTTAATTAAAAAAAAAACCAATAAGGAGTAAAATTACGGACCAATACGGATCAAAGTTAAAGATTTTGGGTCATTGAGGGCTTTCATCAGCAAGGTAAATAGACAGTGAGAGACTTGAAGGAGATATTTACAAAGTCCAAAGTTGACAAGGTTATGACTACCTCGATGATATTAGTTCTTTCAAAAAGTGAGAAAACTAACAGAAAATAGTTGAAGTTGATACCTAGGCAATTCTCAGAATGCGAAACCTGACTAACTCTAAATGGATGAAGTGATGCTCAACTGAAATGCCAATGAGAGGAATAAAAATAAATGCAACACTGTAGTAACATTCTCTCGCCATCGACTTGCAAAACTGAGAGTTATCTAATGCTGGGTGACGAGATGATGGCAGGACAAGCTGCCTTGACCTTTGCAGGAGTGTGAACTCATGCACTCATCCAGGAGGAAGTCTGGCTGCAGCATTCAATGGATTTATAAATGTGTGTGTCTTGCAATCCTTCACTCCTGGGTATATGCCCCAGAGACAATACCTAACGGGTGCGTAAGGAGACATATATGTGTGGCTTATTGCATGTTGTTCGGGGGATGGAAGGAGTTAGGGACAATTTAGGGGTCCACTACTGAGAGATTAAGTAAAATGTAGTGTATGGACACAATGGCAAAATGGGCAGCAGTTGGAAGAAGTGAACTCATTTTAAATATATAGATACAGATCCATGTCCAAACACTAACATTGAATAAAAGTAATAAGAAACAGAAGGAAGTTTATAACACAAAAAGGCTTATGCAATTTAGGACACATTCACATACTCACAACTATACACTATTTACTAGAATGCCACACATATAACCACATGAGTATATGGAGAGTGGATTTGATGAACATACATTCTACAGGGGATTGAAGTGAGGATTGGAGACTGAGATAAAATAAACCCAGCTAGGGGTCTTGCCCAGAATGATGATAATATAAAGCCAACACTGAACAGTAAAATCAACTCAATTCTGTGCACCTGATGTTAAAAAAAAAAGAAACTAAAACTAAAAAAAAAAAAAGAAACTATACCTTTAAATGAAAAAAGCTGAAAGAATGCATAATTGCATGCAAACTGATTGAAATAACAATAAAACAGAGTACAAGCTAATGTTTATATGAACTTAAACTAGAGCACAAAAATGATTTGCAAACTGATTAAAGTAACAACAAATGAAACAAATACAGAATGGTATACACACTGATTGAAACTGCCTTAAAAATGTATTCATGTGAGATAGTTGGGGAAAGGGCCTTGTTCTGCTCCTCTGTTTTTTCTTGACATCACCACCTATTTTATAAGGACGGTTTACAGGCAAATCCGGGACATCATCTTTATTTTCTGGAATTCCTCTCAGTATCTCCTCCTCTTCCATATATGAGGCTTTCCTTTCAGCTCTCACCTCCTCTCCCCTACCAAGGCCCAGTGAAACCTGAACTTAGACAAGTCCTCAGATCTTTTTCTGTCCCTCTTTAGACTTTGTGAGCATGTAACTGGTAAGGTAAGAGAGAGTCTTCACTTATTTATCTTGGGAAGAGTCATTGCTGTACCCTCAGCACTACTCCCTGAGCTGGTGTAATTGGGATTGAGGTCTAAGGAAAAGGAGGACACTAGGCTGGGTTAGCCAAAGTTAAAAAATCATCCTGTTGCCCTTTGAGAGTCCAACTCTTTAAGCCAGATTCTCCACTGGGGTAGGAACCAGTCCAGTCTCTTAAAGCAGCCTTGCATTTGACCTTCTGTCCTATTCATGTCTCTCCTGGACCCTAAAAGGAAATGTGGCTGCAGCGTTACTATACAGAAACAGTGTAGAAGAGGGTTCAAGGCCCTGTTTACCATCCCAGAATAAAACACTATATAAGCCAAAAGTAGAGGGCGTTCTTTAAAATTGAAATAGCTCTTTTAAGCAGCAGAATTATGGTTGATTGTTTTCTCCAGTTTTACTTCTTTAAATAAATATATACATACTCAATTACAGGCAGTAAACAAAAGCATACGTTATGGTCTATTGTTGGCCAGAGTGTCATTCCAGTAATGAATTGCATTATACAATTAACAAGTGTCCCATTGTGTAGCTAATTAGTACATTCATCCTTTATGGTTTTAACTGTTAATAATACAGTCATAAGTGAATGCCTTGTCTCCCGATTTGAGCACCTTCTACATATCTTTGTAGCTTACATATCACCTAGCACAAAGCTAAGTATATAATAGTATGTACTCGAGAAATAGGAAACATTCTAAAATGGAAATGATTATTTCTAAATATCCCATCCATAGAGAATGTCTAGCATCTTTCTCTACCTATCAACCTCATTTTTTCCTTCGACATTTTTTCTTGGTGCTGTTGCATGGGGAATTCTTATTTTCTTTTTCTACTTTCTCTTACTGATTCTGTGTTCATTTCACCTCAAATGCGCAATGTTCAACTTTTTATCTGACAGATGATTTTATTTTCCTTTTTTCTCAAATGATTTTTATCTGAGCAGAAAATGTATATCAAACCCCCCAATCTTCAAAAAATATGCTCCCAATGTATTGTAGGGAGATTTTTTTTTTTTTAAAGATTTTATTTATTTGACAGAGAGAGACACAGCGAGAGAGGGAACACAAGCGGAGGGGGGCGGGGGGGAGAGGGAGAAGCAGGCTTCCCACAGAGCGGGGAGCCCGATGCAGGGCTCCATCCTGGTACTCCGGGATCATGACCTGAGCTGTAGGGAGATTTTTATACACTGCAAAATGAGAGCACTCATCCCTTAATCAGTTCATCTCAAAAATCAAGACCCATTATCTTATTTATTTGCATGTTTTTTAAGATTTCAAGTTCCAGGAGGACAAGAAGCACCTCATTTAATATTATGTGCAACAATATAGAATGTAGTGCTTTATTGGAAAACTGTAATTATAGTGAAAATAATGTTGATCATAGTGATAGCAGAGGGAAATATTCTAGTCTCGTACCATAGGGCCTTCCTTTCTAAACAGCAGTGACACAAATTGAGGAGATGGAGAACTATCATAGTTATGTAAAAGTGAATTAAGGAACTTTTATTACCTTAGTTTCTTTCCACCATCTGCAATTTTAGCTTTCTGAAGATAGCCTTCTTTTTCAACCATCTGCAAGAAGAATGTATATATTAAAACTGTGACAAACCCCTATGCATTATTATTTTGAATGAACCTATGCTTTCCAACAGTCATTGCAGTGATGGAAGTTTCCAGTCATAGAACTTCATTAATAATGCATATATAGCTTATGGGAAGTGCCTGCAAGATCATAATCATTACAAGCCGTTAAATATCCAAAAGAAAGATTACAAAGAGTAATGTGAATGATTTGTTAAATGTTGATACACCTTTACTCACTTTTCCTTCTGGGCATTGAAGTCACTTGCTTACAAAACTGATTAAAAATGGCAAAACAAAAACAAATTTAATAATGCCTTCCTTAATTTTACTGATAATCCTTAGAAAAGTTCTTCCTTTTTTTTTTTTAAGATTTTATTTATTTATTTGACAGAAGAGACACAGTGAGAGAGGGAACACAAGCAGGGGGAGTGGGAGAGGGAGAAGCAGGCTTCCTGCGGAGCAGGGAGCCCAATGTGGGGCTTGATCCCAGGACTCTGGGATCATGACCTGAGCTAAAGGCAGACGCTTAACGACGGGGCCACCCAGGCACCCCTAGAAAAGTTCTTCCTTTTTACTTCTAATCCTCACCACCTCATGTATCTGCTGAGGCCAAGAAGTGGAAAGAATTCAGTGGAACCAAGTGTCTGAACCAGTTGAACCATGAAAGGGCATTTAAAATGGTGACATTTCATGCATTTTGTTCAGTCACCAAGAAACACTGTAGTAGCACTACTTCATTATCTTCTTTCATAATGTGGGTTTGCTTCCTTTCCTATTCGTATTTATTGGCTTTCATTGTTAATACAACGGCAAGTTTCTTAAAGGAGATTCAATGATTTGTGATAACTTCACAGAGGTTTTTGTGGAGTACTAGGGTAAATAAATGTACAACGCAAATTGTGATGAGTTGACTCCCAGCAAAGTCTTTAATAGGCACTTTGATTTCTGAGCACCCTACTGCCACTTTCCCCCATCTTTCCCACATACCCTTATCTCAAGTCCTTACCCTGTGTTCCATCTTTTCACTATAGATGAATTGCCCTCAACCTTCTCCCCTGTACTAAATGCTAAAAGCTTTTAGAAGTTACCTAAGATCTTCGACAAAGCAGGAAAGAATGTCCAATGGAAAAAAGACAGTCTCTTCAACAAATGGTGTTGGGAAAATTGGACAGCCACATGCAGAAGAATGA